CAGAGGTGCCTGCAAGGGGTGGGGTGTGATAACACTGATTATGTGTTATCAAGTCAGTGCCGACCCCTACTGACCTAGACAGATTTCCTCCATGACAGCCGGTCCCCAACCTGGTCCTTCAGGTCTTCCAAGGTGCCGCATCTCCACTGTAACTGAGTCCCTCCATCTTGCTGCTGGTCATCCTCGTCTTCTCTTTCCTTCTGCCTTTCCGGCCATTAGAGCCTTTTCCGCAGAGCTAGGTCAAAAAAGTCAAAATGGCCACTGGGGTCATGTGATCAAAGCCTTGCCCTACACATGAAAAAACCAGGCAGGGTTTCTATGGCACCGTTGCAGCCACCATCCTGACTTTTTTTACCCTCCTACGGATGCTCCTGGGTGGGACTTTTTTCATACTTGCAAAGCCCCAGCTAAAATATTTTAAGTGTGAGTTGCTAATCCAGTGTCCACCTTGCCTCCCCCAAGTGAACTCTTTAGATGGAGAACACCTACCACTTGCACAGATCTGTGCAAATCCACACGTGTGACTAAGAGAAGGAAATATCAGACAATTCAGTTCTTTGGCTGTTCCTGGAAAGGAAAGCAACAGGAAGCTTTTATTGCTGCTATTCTGTTCTTACCCGCCATGTTTTTCGGGTGCTTTTAAAAACCAAACAAGCCATTGCCTGTCATATTAATTTGAATCAGGAATTGAGGATGGTGTTTTATTTGAATAATAGTCAACCAACACAGCCTCTTCCCCTTTCAGTGCATTTCACAGGAAAAAGTCTTGCTGGCACCTTCCATGTAAAACCTGGTTTTGGTCTGACCATTGACAGGAGGGCCAAGCAAGCTGTTGTGGTCTTTGCCAACCTGCCTGAATCCCCATGTTTAGGAGCACCCGCCCTGCCAACCCCATGGCCAGCAGCCAGGGATGGGCCTGGGCATGAGGCACACCAGCTCTCAGCCTGTGAGATTCACATGTTTCTGGAGGGGGGTTGAATTCCAGCCCAGACCACTTTCCTTTCCGATCGCGAAGGCTGATCCCTGACTGATCTTGCTCGCCACATTCACCCCCTTCCCCTCCACAGATCATTGAGCAGAATTACAATGCGACGTGGATGCACCGCCAAGGCGTGGAGAACGCTACGTCCATCGACCCCGGGGTCCTCAACATCCTGTGGTCGTTGTCGGTCTCCATCTTCTCCCTCGGCGGCATGCTCGCCTCCTTTATGGTTGGCGTGGTCTCTGAATGGCTTGGCAGGTGAGCCCTCCCGGGGTGAACTCCTAGCAAGGAAGGGGTGCCTCCTCTGAGCATGGGCAGAGTGTGCTGCAACTGGAGAGAAGCCTTGACGGGCAGTGCTGCCTCCCTGCAAGGCCAGGCCAGGGTTCTCATTCCGTAAACTGGTGCAAGGGACATTCAGATGGTGTGTTTCAGGGTTACAGCGGTGGTCTGGCATGGGGTTGCTCCCCCGAGGGAATGGAGCCTTCATTAAATCTAATTTTACTTGTAATGAAAGAAACTAATTACAGTTAATTTGATTGCTCTCCGGGTGTTTAGTAATGCCTCCCTCACAAACAACATTATAAATTGCAAATCGGTGACAACTCCTAGAGATGACCCAGGTTCCATGGCTTTGGACAGAGAAGCCTGTTAGTCAATAACAAACGGTAGCACCCAGTTGAATGTCTGCCTGTCCTGCAGTACAGGAATGAGGCTTGGGGGAAGGAGATCCAGAGGTTTCTGTAAGAAAGGAGACATTGGATTCCTTGCTGTGCTTGATGTGAAATCAAAGTCAATTTGTGCACCATGTTTGAGGTCTGCAATTTGGCGCTTAGGTTCGTGCTGAGAGCTGAAATTTTTTTTCTTACGATATGCGTATATTTCCTACGGCTCTGCAGCTGTTGCAAATTGAGTGAGAAATGTGGATTGATATTCCAGGCCTGAATTGGACTTAATCCTAGGTAAATCTACAGGGCGTAACACAGTCTGGTCAGATTGCTGTGAAATGGTAGCCAGGTTCCTCTGTGCAGCCACAGGTCCTTCCTTCGCTGAGCAAGCCCCAAAAGCCGGCAAGGCTCCCTGGGTGTCGACTGGCACCTTTGAGGCTCTGGGGCACCCCAGAAGGGACTCGTTGTCCACGCAGCTTGGTCTCCTCTCTCCTTCCAGGAAGAGAGCCATGATCATCAACAACAGCCTGGCCTTTCTTGGCGGAGGCCTGATGGGGCTGGCGAAGCTGGGGAAATCCTACGAGATGATGATCTTTGGGCGGTTCATGATTGGGGCTTTCTCAGGTATGGGGGGCCCTCGTTTCATGGGGGGAGGACAAGGGAGGCTGGCTTTCCTTCTGCTGGCTCTTGGGTGCCGGTGGAGAAAGGGAGCCCACGGGAGAAGATATATTGGGGACGTAACTCCCAGATCTCTTGACTGCTCCGAGGTGGGAGGAAGCTGGCACTGCTAAGGGTTCGCCACAACCGTCTTGGTGTTGCATTTTGTCTTAATCCCATTCAGAGGTTTGTAAATTGCACTGAATCAGTCATGACTGGGATGGTGTGTCAATGTAGTCATTGAATGAATGAATGAACGAACGAATGAACGAACCGACCAACCTTCCAACCTTCCAACACGCTTACCTATAACACGAGAAGGCAGGCAAAGATGCCCTAAAGTCAAAGGAGCAGGACTGGTGATGGGGAGCTGGGCTAACCCAGGACGGCCCTTTCTTTGGAGAGTCCTAGGCTCCCTTTCTGTTAAACCTCCATGTTCAGGAGTTGCATGCCTCTGCAGGTGATGGACTTCCAGCATTGTTTTTACGGGAGGAGGCATTTCAGTGGGTAACCCCTCTGAGCAGGGGCTGGGGGTGAACTTGGCTGTCTCATTCATCTCCCCCCCCCTTTTTTCCCCTTCTGTGCCAGGATTTGCCTCAGGACTTGTCCCCATGTATGTGGGGGAGATCTCCCCCACCAAACTTCGGGGGGCTTTGGGTACCCTGAATCAGCTGGCCATTGTCATTGGAATACTTTTTGCCCAGGTAAGCATCCTGTGTGCCCCCCATGTTATAGATTTGGGGGTGTGGATGGACGAGGATCATGTCAGAGAAGGGTCAGGGGCCGATGTGGGGGGTGGCCTGGACTTCCCTTGATTTAGAATGGAAATGTGGGGCTCCTCTTCATGTGAATCAGGAGCAGAGCCCATTCGTTGGCAAGGGGAGGGGGTGTGCAGGAACCATAGCTGGATCTAGAAAGCAAGCTTAGTTTCTGCTGCTGGTAGCATTTAAACTATGCTACTTATGAGAAGCACCACTGAAATCCATGAGGCCAACTGTCAGCAGGGCAACCGTGAAGTCCTGTGAATTCCAGCCCATGAAACTGAGAATGGACTTGCTTGGAAAGTCGACCGGGTCCCCTACTGACTAAACAGTTAGCAACAGATCACAAGCTACTCAAATTAAGTGTGCTTGTTCTGAAACACTTTTTATCGAAGTCTTACAACGTGTTCCTTCTCTGGAAGGTCTTTGGGGAAGTGTAAATTACAGTTACTTTGGGGGTTTGGCACTGGACTCCTTCCCCACTTAGTGTGCTCTAAGGGGTCATGAGACTTCTCTCCCATCATTCCCAGCCAGCATGCAGGGATGTCCACGCGGGGAGGGTCCAAAAGTCAAGATGACGGCTGCAATTGCAGCCCCCATCTTGACTTTTTGGACTCCCCTGGCCAGGGCAATCTCTACATCGGAAGGCTGAGAGGTATAGAGATGAACCCATATCTATTGCTGCATCTTCCAGTGCACTCTGAGTCAAAACCAGTCTCGAAGCTGCTGGCTTTCTCCTGCAACAGGTGTGTGGCCTGGAGACCCTGCTGGGGACAGAGACCCTGTGGCCCCTCTTGCTGGGCGTCACCGTGGTCCCCTCCATCCTCCAGCTCCTGCTGTTCCCTTTCTGCCCGGAGAGCCCGCGCTACCTGTACATCGTTCGAAACAAGGAGTCCAAGGCCAGAGAAAGTGAGCGGCTGCGTCTTGCGCTCCCTCGGAGTCGGCGGCTGTTGCTGTGGGCCTGGCCCCCCCAGCAAGGGGTCTCTGGCTCAGCTTCAGTTCTGTCATCCACCCCCTTTCTGTTCTTCACCCCTCTGCTTGGCTAAGCTGGATTGAATGCAGGTTTCTTTAGATGCAACACTGGGTACACTTAGTCGCCTGAGTAAAGGGGGGACGTGGTGGTGTGTCCCCAGCCCTCTTCTGAGCCACGGCTTATTTTTTTCTTCTCACCTGCCCACCCTGTGGGGGACCGCTTCTTCTGCTCAGCCAGATGTAGCTCTCCTGGTCTATTCCTCCCTTCCCTCACCTTTTCACCGCTGACCATGTCTAGAGATCCACCAATGGAATCCTGTCCATCAAATCCATTACCCTCCAGGTGCACTTAGGCTGCAACTCCCACAATCCTCAGCTAACATCCTCCCAGAATCCTCAGCTAGCTAGCATCCCAAGGGATGCTGGGAATCACAGTCCTAGTGCCCTGAAATAGCCAGGCTGGGGACGCTCATTCCAGCCATCCCAACCGTTGGCCATCACTCTTCCCCCACCCCATTTTTCCCACACTTCCAGGGTCTCCTATTTCCCCTTGCTCTCCCCCCACCCTCATTAGCCCATGCTTTGCCCATGCTAACCCCACGTGGGCCCTGCCCAGGTCTCAAGCGGCTGACCGGCTGCCAGGATGTGAGTGCCGCCCTGACTGAGATGAAGGAGGAGAAACGCCGCATGGACATGGAACACAAGGTCTCCATCGCCCAGCTCTTCCGCTCCCGCGTCTACCGTCAGCCGCTCTTGATTGCGGTGGTCCTTCAGCTCTCCCAGCAGCTGTCCGGCATCAACGCGGTGAGTTGGGCTGCCGGAGGGAGGACAAAAGGGGGCAGGGGCTGGGGAGCCCAAGGGCCAGGAAGAGCCTCTCCCCTTCCTGTTTAGGTCTTCTATTACTCCACTGACATCTTGACCAAAGCTGGCCTGGAGCAGCCCATTTACGCGACCATCGGGACGGGCGTGGTCAACACCATCTTCACCATCGTTTCGGTAAGAGCTCCTGACCCCACGTTGTCTTCTCCAAAGGGGCTCCTCTTGAATTGGAAGGGGGAAGCTGGGGTGGTGCAGATGAGGCCCAGCCTCAACACCCAGCACCCCTCGTCATTGATTGCTCCAGCAGGGGATGCTGGGAGGTGATAGCCTTCAACAGCTGGTTTCCCACCCTTCAAACTGGCAGTTGCTCCCATTTGCTGTAAAAAGATGTGTGTGTGGAGGGGGTGATTGGACATGAAATGAAAAAGAAAAAGCCGGGGCCACGTGTACAAATGCATGTTAAAAAGGGACGCAACTGGAACTGCGTGATCATAGATACCCTCTTGACTATTTTGACTTTCCCAATGGACACCCCAGAGTACCGATGTTGGCATTTTAGTGTAGCCGATAAACCCTGTGCATCTCACAGAGGGGGCTTTTGAATCTTCAGGAGGGGACCTTTTCCTCTTCATTCAGAGAGAGAGAGAGAGAGAGAGAGATTTTTTATTATAATAGTAAAAACTAATACAACTAAACTTAAAGAAAGAGAAGAGAACAGAAGAAAGAATAAAAAGTGAAGAAAAGAAAGAAAGAAAAAAAGAAAGAAAGAAAGAAAGAAAGAAAGAAAGAAAGAAAG